CCCAGGACACGCATGCGCTGGCCGCCGCCCGTACTGATCTATGTCCGGGCCCCAGGCCTGCGCGGCGGCGCTGCAGAGGCAGCTTGGCCCTGAGCTGGGGGAGCTGGCCTGGGCCCAGACGGCCCTCGCCCACGCGGCCGACGTGCTGGCACTTGCGCAAGCCGGGGCAGGGTGGGGGCATCCCGCGTCCAACCCGCTGAGCAGGGGCCCCGCAGCCCGTCTCTCGCCAGTGGGGGAGGGTTCCCCGGGCCCTGCCCCAGACCTCTCCCAGCTGCCCCGCCCCTACTGCCCAAGGCTCAGAGCTAGGGGTTGGCATTTTTCTCTGGTCACTCAATGTTTGCCCCCCCAATGAATGTTGTTCCAGAGCAGGGTCCGAGATCCCAGCCAACCCCAGGAAGCTCCCAGCGAGTGCGCGCCCACAGCCCGGATGCAAGGCGCTCGAACCCGCGCTCGCCGGCACCCTGGCAGTCCCGCACCATGCGCCGGGCCGCACAGCGACTCCGGGATCATCCCCCTTCCCAGGCGCTGCTGAGCGCACAGAGCAGTGAGCGCGCGTGGAGCCTCCTAGGAATCAGAAGGCAGCGTGTGGAGGAGGGCCAGAGAGGCGCTTTCCCTCCCCAAGCAGAGCGCACCCCACGCCCAGCGCTCAGCCACGCCCAGCACAGACCCTTGAAAAAGAAAAGCAACATCATAACGGCCAGACCGGGTCAGACCAAAGATCCCTGCAGTGTCCTGTCTGCCCACAGCGGCCAATGCCAGGTGCCCCAGAGGGAGGGAACAGAGCAGGGAATCCTCATGCGATCCCTCCCGTCGCCCATTCCCACCTTCTGACAGAGGCCAGGGACACCACCCCTCCCCATCGTGGCTAACAGCCATTGATGGACCTGTCCTCCATGGAGTTATCCAGGGTATTTTTTAACCCTTGGCCTTCACAATATCCTCTGGCAAGGAGTTCCACAGGTTGACTCTGTTCGTTTTAAACCTGCTGCCTGTTCATTTCTTTTGGTGACCCCTAGAGTTCTCATATTATGGGAGGGAGTAAATAACATTTCCTCATTCACTTCCTCCACACCTGTCATGATTTTACAAACCTCTGCCATATCCCCCCCCCCCCCCCCCCCCCACCCAACCCCCCTCCCTGAGCCTGCACCTGCAACCCCCTCTGGCACGCTCAACTGCCTGCCCCAAGCTCAGCTCAGATACCCTCTTAGACTCCAAATCCCATAATCCAAGATGAAAGCCTGCACCCTAGGGTTACCAGGATCCAGTGTTCACACACTAGCCCTGTCCCACCAGCACCCTTAGCTAAGTCCTGGACTCCCACAAACTGCAGGCCCCTAGAGAGCTGGGAGGTGGCGCTGGGTGGAGCACAGGAATTATCTGACAACTTCCGCGGATGAAGATCAGTGCGTCCGTGCCCGTTGCTTCTGGACGCCAGCAGTCGTGGGCGCGGCATGGCCAGGCTCCGTCTGGTTCGCGGCATGGCCAGGCTCCGTCTGGTTCGCGGCATGGCCAGGCTCCGTCTGGTTCGCGGCATGGCCAGGCTCCGTCTGGTTCGCGGCATGGCCAGGCTCCGTCTGGTTCGCGGCATGGCCAGGCTCCGTCTGGTTCGCGGCATGGCCAGGCTCCGTCTGGTTCGCGGCATGGCCAGGCTCCGTCTGGTTCGCGGCATGGCCAGGCTCCGTCTGGTTCGCGGCATGGCCAGGCTCCGTCTGGTTCGCGGCATGGCCAGGCTCCGTCTGGTTCGCGGCATGGCCAGGCTCCGTCTGGTTCGCGGCATGGCCAGGCTCCGTCTGGTTCGCGGCATGGCCAGGCTCCGTCTGGTTCGCGGCATGGCCAGGCTCCGTCTGGTTCGCGGCATGGCCAGGCTCCGTCTGGTTCGCGGCATGGCCAGGCTCCGTCTGGTTCGAGACGCTTTCTGGGTGACGTTTCAGGTGCTGGGCGTGATCCATGAAGGCCTAAAGGACTGAGAGACAACCCCTCCCTACGGCATGTCACACTGGCGCGTGGGCATCATAGTCTGGGAGCAAGTAGCCTGTGGAGTGGGGGAGAGGCAGAGGGGCAGGGTGCCTGGGGGAAGAGCAAACAGCCCCCTGCGGAGTGGGGGAGAGGCAGGGTGCTCGGGGGGGGGGAGCAAACAGCCCCCTGTGGAGT